GTGCTTGACACAGTGGATGGATAGATGGTGATGAGTTGTATGAGCCCCCAATAAAATGATTTTTTTAAAGAAAAAACAGAAGAATGATGGCAACATATATACTACATATATGCTGGATACAAATATGTATGGATTGCTAGAAGAACTCCCAATAAAATGATCTTTTAATTAAAAAAAAGGAAAAGGAATCAAGTACAATCATGTCTGATAGGTTTATATCTACTCCTTCAGGAAATCCAATCAATGTGACTATTAATCAAATTTATGCACCAAAATCACTAAAGCTAGTGATGCAGAAATTGAAGAATTCCACCAATGTCTTGAATCTGAATTTGAAGAAATTAGATGGTGCCCGCCTATCAGAAAAAAAATAGCATCAGGTGTCTTGAAAGCTTGTTTTCAAACAAGCAGCGATCTGAGTGAAATGTCAACCAAGCCCACATGGAAAAAGCACACCAACACCCATGATCCTAGGAGTGTAAATAATATCCAGATCTGAAGGAGTTTACAGTGTGAAAGTTTAAATTGTGAGATTCTGGTGTGCAGACGGCTATGGACGACAGTGGAAGCCCAAAATACATTTGCAGGATCTACATAGGAACATGTCTCCAGTGACTTCCCTCTCATTATAATTGATAGATGGGAATAACCTGGTGATCAGAGTACTGTAGAAATGATTATAATACATTGAAATGATAAATCTGACTTGAATAGTTAAAACTTTGTCATCTGATCTCCCTTTTGATATACATTGTACTTTATCTGGTTAACATTTGCTGTGGGATTTTTTTTGTCGTCCCCCACCCCCAACCCCCCGAAACAGAGGTTTACCTCTGTTGTATTTTTTCATTGTTGGCAGCTTTTTAAAATTCTCTGTTATGTATTTTTGTTTTTCAGTAAATGAAACCCAGGATGGATGAATCTATAGACACATTAACTAGAATAAAGGCTCTTAAGGGGTATGGCAAGGGACAGGGGAGATAATGGAGAGTTGATATCAAGGAGTACAAGAAGGACCAAAATTATTTTGGTTGTGGTTGTACAGTAATGTTTGATATGGTTGGACTATGGAATGGCATGCTGTCTGGATTAAGTCCTAATAAAAGGGTTTGAAAGAAAAAAGGTGCATGGATAATTATTGGTGATTGGAATGCAAAAGTTGGAAAAGGAGCATAAGGAACAGTGTTGGAAAATATGGATTTGGTGATAAAAACAAAGCTGGATATCACATGATAAAATTTCACAAGACCAGCAACTTGTTCATAGCAAATACCTTTATCAACAACACAAAAGTGGACTACACACATGAACTTCTCCAGATGTAATACACCGACGCCAAATTGACTACTTCGGTGAGAAGAGATGCTGAAGAAGCTCAGTATCAGTAGCAAAAACCAGGCCAGGAGCGGACTGTGGAACAGACCATCAATTGCTCATATGTAAGTTCAAGATGAAGAAGCAAATTAAAACAACTCCACAAGAGCCAAAATATGACCTTAAGTCTATCACATCTGAATTTAGAGAATATCTAAAAGCTTTCTTTGATACACTAAACACTAATAACAAAACCTGATGAGCTGTGGGAGAACATCAAGAACATCACTCATAAAGAAAGCAAAGGTGAATTATAAAGGCAGGAAAGAAAGAAAAACTTAAAGTGGATGTCAGTAGACTCTGAAACTTGCTCTTAATCATAGAGCAGCTAAAGCAAATGGAAGAAAAGTTGAAGGTCAAAGCTGAATATAAAATTTTAAAGGCCACTGGACATCCTCTTACAGAAGGGTCTTGGGGAGGAGACGAGCCAGTCAGGGTGCGATACAGCAATGATACAACTTTCCTCTGGTTCCTAAATGCTTCCGCCCACACACACACACTATCATGATCCCAATTCTACGTTACAAATCTGGCTAGACCAGAGGATGTACACTGGTACAGATAGGAACTAGAAACACAGGGAATCTAGGATAGATGATCCCTTCAGGACCAGTGGTGTGAGTGGCGATACTGGGAGGATAGAGGGAGAGTGGGTTGGAAAGGGGGAACCGATTACAAGGATCTACATATGACCTCCTCCCTGGGGGACGGACAACAGAAAAGTGGGTGAAGGGAGACATCGGACAGGGCAAGATATGACAAAATAATAATAATTTATAAATTATCAAGGGCTCATGAGGGAGGGGAAGTGGGGGGGGGGAATAAGGAGCTGATCCCAGGGGTTTAGGTGGAGAGCGGATGTCTTGAGAATGATGGGGGCAATGAATGTACAAATGTGCTTTACACAATTGATGTATGTATGGATTGTGATAAAATGATTTTTTAAAAATTTTAAGGGCAGCCCGAGAAGGCAATGCCAAATATTGCACTGAAGTATACAAAGACCTAGAGTTAGGGAACCAAAAGGGAAGAACACACTCAGTACATCTGAAATGTAAAGAATCCGAGAAAACACAATTCAAACTGACAGGAAGAGATCTCTATTTGTGCCCAGGCCAAAGAAAGGTGGCCCAACAGAATGCTCAAACTCTGGAACAACGTAATTGATAAGGCACACAGGTGGATTTTTGCTTAAGATCATCTAACAACGGTTGCAGCAGGACATCGATATGAAACTGCCAGAAGTTCAGGCCAGATTCAGAAGATGTGGCACAAGGGACACCACAGCTGTCAGATGGATCTTGGCTCAAAGCAGAGGATACCAGGGATGTTTTACTTATGTTTTATTGACTATGCAAAGGCATTCGACTGTGTGGACCATAATAAGCTGCGATAACCTTGAAAAGAATGGGAATTCCAGAACATTTGACTGTGCTCATCGAGGAAAGCCCTCATGGAGATGGACTGACACTGTGGCTGCAACAATGGGCTCAGGAATAGGAACAACTGCGAGGACAGTGCAGGGCCATGCAGTGCTTCATTCTGATGTGCACAGGGTCGCTGTGGGTCAGAACTTCATTGCGAACCAGTCTACCTGAACCAAAGCCCATTGCCACCGAGAAGATTCTAACTCACAGCACCCCAGAGCACAACAGGGTCAGTTCACACCAAGGCTGTGAATCTTGACTGACAACCAAGGGGTTCATAGGCACAATTGGACGGCAATAATATATAAAGAGCATAGTACAGGCATAGAGAATAGGAGGGATAGGAGAGGGAGTAAAACATAGGAGTCAGACACATTTCATGGTAGCATGCTCACCTCCGGGATGGCCATGATCTCAGCAGCCAGGTCCACACAGAGAGAGGGAGAAAGAGGGAATATATTTCTAACCAAGGCTTAAACATAGTTAGGGGCGTGCAAGCCCGATTACAGGTAACCACACACGTAACAGGAAGAGGCCGTCCAATAGGCATACACGCGACAGGCAGGGGATGCGCTAGGGGTACACAAGTGACAAGACAGGCGGACCCTACATTCAGGATGGCAGCCTGATCTTGGTCCTCCTTGAGTTGGTTGACCTTGTCTCTGGGCTCTCCAGGGAAACAATCTACCATCCTTAGGAGGGAGTCGGCCCTGCTTAGGGTGGGACACACTATAGTCTGATTGCTCTAGATGGCTGACACCCTCAGGGAGATAAGCGTGCAGTCACCACATGTTGCAAGCAGCATCCCAGGTTTGGCAAATATTTTGGGGACAACCCTTCAGCATCCCAAAATGCCAGCTGCCACATCTTTCTCCAGCAGCGTGGCTGGTGGGCTCAACCTGCCCACCTTTCAGAGAGCAGCTGGGGGCTTTAGCTTCTGTGCCACCAGGGCTCAAGAACTAGCCGCATTTTAAGAAATCGCGTCCCCTGACATCAATGCAGGTCCTGGCATTACCTTACCCGCACAGCAGGTCTCCTTGAATATTGGCTTGCTCACATAGGGTCCACCTGGAGGCAATTTTACATACGGGCACTCTTTCCATTGTTCCCTTACGTCCTGTAATATGAGCAGACTAGCACCTTGGCAAATGACCCAGTTTAATACTGATGTGTTTGTGTGGTTTCTATCCTGAAGGGGTGGGTTATATTCATTCTGCATAGCATGTCCAAACAGTAAATGTGGGTTCTTTCCTGTGCGAAGCTCAGTGCTGTTAGCCACATTGTTGATGTGAGGATTGGGGAGAGATGCTGCCAGTGACTTATCATCAAAAGAGGTGGGTGTTGAGATGGGCTTGGCCACGTCACCAGCCCATGGTGGTACAGCACCATGCCCTCCAGGTGCTACTCTGCAGCCTTGAGTGGGTGAGTGCCCCGAGACCTGGACCGAGACAAAAGGTTCTTCCTTCCAACATCTAAGGGATTCGTATAAAGTTAACGTTGATCTCGAGAGAGAGAGTCGAGTCTCTCAAGCCTTTTTTTTTTTCCCCTTTTCAGCAGCACTGTATTTTTCCAACTCAACTTCAGAGAAAACGGTTTGAAATCAACCCAAGGCAGCAGAGGTGGAGGGAAGGAAAGAGACACTCGCATCGCACCCACAGACTGATGCTGGTGTCGGCCATTGGGTCTCACAGACAAGTGAGACCATCATCACGGACCTCTCTTGATGCAGCTGACTCCTGGATGGGAATGAAGAATTGTCACCGCTCTCTCCATACAGCTAGCACAAGGTAACAGTGGACTGGGCCAGGGCTAGCCTTCCTCTTTCTATAGCTTCCTCCTCGTCCCCAGGGTCTACTGGGGACCTCCCTGCCCCCACAGCTGCCCTCATATTATGGTAAGCACCCAACAGAGTACACACTCCAAGCCTCTTCTATTCCAGGTTCCCCGTGATACACCTTTATCTTCACTGCTGCTCAAATAAGGGCTGATAGCAAAGCAGTCTGACTGGATTCATTTAGACTAACATGTGAGTGGTTGCCAATTCCTTGAGCCCCACCAGGTACACTCTAAAGGGAAGATGCTATCTCTAATTGGCTGATGCTCCGGCAGTGCAATAAAGTCATCAATTCTAACGGTGTATGGATTAGATGCCAGCAATGAGTTTCTCAGTTCTCCATCTCTAATCCATAACATCCCCAAAAACGCTTAGGAGGCTTTATTTTTTTTTCCGATTTTTTTTTTTAACAACAGCTCTCATGGTGACAACAGCCATGGTGGTCGCGTGAGCATCCGAAAACACCCTGAAACACTCTGTCGTCTGTTTCCTAAAACACCCTGAAACAGTGTCATCTGTTTCCTGTCTGACGCAAACCAGAAATACGTTCAAGTACATGTGACCGCGAGTAAGAAAAATATACAACTGTATTTAAAACACTTAAATAGTTCTAAAAAACATCATCCACTCAGTTCCAGCAAAGGAGTTAATAACACCCAGACATGCTTTCCAGAAATACCGGACGCTACTTGAGAAACGAGTGACGGGGAGCGTGTCTCAGATCTTTCTAATTAGAAAAAGGCAGATGTAGATATAAGTATATATCTATATATCTATATGTTTTTCCCCTGGGAAGTTAAACATTGAGCAGGTCAAAATGCAAACTGGTGTTATTGGCTCATAAGCCTAAATGTCGTCACTTCCTCTGTCTGAATGGTGCTTTGGCTGTCAGCAAGTCAAATCCCCACCCCCCCCTTAAAGACAGTAATATACAACATTGCTCCACCCTCGCAAAAGAACTGCAGCGTCGTTGTGTGGGAGAATCCGGGCCTCACTGAGTTCACGTGTCTGCATCGGCTGCCCTGCTCTGAGGTCCGCCAAGCCTAGAGCCACATCTCTAGCTTGGAAGCTCGTCAGTGCTTCTCACGTGACCCCTCAGAGTCAAAGCCGCTACCCTGACACACAAGGTAGAGCGCTCAGGACACCCAAACCAAAGGGCTGTCTCCATGAGCTTTGCCAGGTAAAGAAACTGGACCACAAACCGGACATCTGTGTGGTGACAGCCCATCAATTTCAGCTCTCCCCTCCCAAACAACAAACCAATAAACAGTGCCACCAGGTCCTCACAGCAAACATAACCTCCCTGGCCCAAGAGCAGCACCTCCTGGGGGAGTGACAGTGTCCCGACTCTGGTGAAGCAAGCAAGCAGCAGCCACTGCTTCCTTCCTCCTGCTCCGACAAGCCAGTACCCAGGATCCCCTGGGTCTGCTCCCATCCAGTCACGTCCAGCTTTCCACAAGGATGAAATGACAGGTCACTACGTAATACTGAGGGCGAGCGTTCAGAACAGGCCGAGGGGCCGAGGCACTTGGGAGCCCAGGGGCAGGGAGGCAGCCGCTCGCTCTCAGTGAGTCAACAGTTTGAGCCGAGTAAACCAGCTGACCAGGAGCGAGGGCTCTGTGGAGGACGACTTTGCGGACGAGGGGGAAGACTTCTTTTTGGTCCCTTCCTCCTGGAATGGAATGGTGGCGCTGTTGTGGAGGTCTGCGCTGAGGAAGCAGCGGCTCCCTCGGATGTAGTCTGCGCCCCGCACCAGGTGCCGTTCTGCAGGTCTGGGGAAGCGGTAGGCCGGGGAGGCGCGTTCTTCCACAATGGGAGGGATCCGCTCATTGCTGAAGTACCGACAAAGGGCGTCCTCACCTGTCAGACAAAGCCAACACCACCATTACAGCAACCACTGTGACAGACTGAAGGGTTCCCCGCTCACTGTCCCTCTGCCCCCAAAATGTGTGGGCCATGATTCCTATAGTCTTGTGTAATTAGCTTCCAGTTTGTGATGTGAAGTAATTATCCTCTTGGTTGCTAAATCCTAGCTTCTTTGCCATCAATGAGGCAGGATGAGTGGCATTTAATTCGGTCTGCAGGACCAGGTGGCCTCTTGAATCCATCTGAGACATAAACCGGATCAGGAGCACCTCAGTACCCAATAGAAAGAAGAGTCGGGAGAGGAGCGCACCCTGCGGACCTGAGGTCCCTATGCTGTGAGCTTGCACACCTAGAGGAAGGTAGATACTAAGGCACATGGAGCTCTCCCGGGGACACCAAGCCCACAGAGTGAACAGAGAAACGGACCTTCTTCTGGAGCTCACAGAGAGAGAAAGCTGGCACTCTACATTGGGAAATCTCACCCCGAGCTGTGAAAATACCTTCCTGTTTGCTAACAGGCATCCTCTGACAGTATTTCAGTGATCGCAACACGAGAGCCAGGAGACAACCATCCATTGGACCGAGCTGTCTACCGAGTAGTAAGTTCTGACCCACAGCGACACTATTCACAATAGAGATACTGCCCGGACCTGTCCATCCTCACAGTGGCTCCGAGGCCTGAGCCTGTGGTTACAGCCACTGTGTCCATCCATCTCTTGGGGGCCTTCCTCTTTTTCACTGCCCCTCCACCAAACAGGATGTCTCTGTCTGCTCTAAATTCTGCCACCACATCCAAAAGTGGGTCCTATATCCTGCTTCTCCCCTCGCCCTGCCAAGGATGGGCCCCCGGCCTTGCCGATGAAAGGACTCATCTAATCTGAGAGGTAATCTACTGGGTGTCTAGAGAGCAGATATGTAAGAGATCCACCTTACTTCAAGAAGCTCTGGTGGCACAGTGGTTAACTGCTACCACTAAGCTACTTAACTGAAAGTTCAGTGGTTCAAGCCCACTCACTCTAAAGGAAATAAACTATGGCGCTCCGTCCTGGAGCAGCAAAAATGGTCTGGCATTAGACAGTGGTGATGGTGACACCCCTCTGAATACATGGCAAGCCATGAGTTGGGTCTTTTCAAAGGATGGCTTATACCCCAGTAAGAGCCCTGGTAGAAGTCCTTGTAGCACAGCAGGTTACATGCTGGGTGCTGACCTCAAGTTCAGCAGTTCGAAACCACCAGCCACTCTAGGGAAGAAAGATGAGGCTTTCTGCTCCTGTAAAGATTTACAGCAGGGGTCCTCAAACTACGGCCTGCAGGCCACATGCGGCTCGCCAAGGACATTTATTCGGCCTGCTGGGTAATTTTGCCCTGTTTTTTCACTTCAAAATAAGCTATGTGCAGTGTGCATAGGAATTTGTTAGGTTTTTTTTTTTTTAAACTATAGTCCAGCCCTCCAACGGGTCTGAGGGACAGTGAACTGGCCCCCTGTTTAAAAAGTTTGAGGACCCCTGATTTACAGCCTTTGAAACCCAGAGGGGCAGTTCTCCTGTCCTGTAGGGTCACTGTGAGTCAGAATGGCCTCAAGGACAGCATGTGAAGGAGTGAGTGAGGGAAGACCCCTGACCTTTCTGCTCCCAGGGACGTCTAACTGTCTCAGAAACTAGGTTTCTATGACTCAGGAGTGATTCCCTGGCAGTGGGGTTTTAAAGCAGTTCTGAAACCACAGCAAAACAAAACAAAATGTGGGCGCTGTGCGGACACGTCTTACTGTAAAACAATCATCCCAAGAAATACAGCAAAGGACGGAACGGGGAGCAAAGTATCCCTCACATTCCCAAACGTCATATGGACACAGGATCTGCCGCCTGACTCACGGCGATCCTGTAGGCCAGAGCAGAATGCTCCCTAGGGTTTGCCAGGCTGCCCATGGAGCTGCTGGTGGGTTCGAACTGCTGACCGTGTGGTTAGCCGGCCAATGCTTTTAACCTACCACTCCGCGAGGGCTCCTTCAATATGCGTAGGGAAACTCACTGACTCGCTGCCACTGAGTCAATGTCGATTCAGAGCAACCCCGCAGGGCAGGGCAGAGCTGCCCTGTGGGTTTCCGAGACTGTACAGGGAGGGAAGAGGCTACACCCCAGCTTGCAGTATAGCCAAGAGCCTACAAGTCTAAACAAAGGACAGCCCGGCCACCTGCCGATGGCTCACAAGATGTCCTCCGTGGGAGTCTTACACTCCAGACTGGCTTTTCTCCTCTTCCCACGGGAGTGTCTACCAATGGATGCAGGCACGCTGTGACAACTGTCCCCAGTGCCCTGCACATGTCAGGGTTGACCTGGTCTCTAGAATGTCCTCCCTCTCGCTATGTAAAGCCCAGAGAACTGTCAGCTCTCACCTGCTCTGTTTCAACACGGCCGGTGAGGATAACCGCGGGTGATCCCTCAAGGGGAAGAAACTGTGTAAACACTTTCACCAAGACTCGTGTAATCACCCAAAACTTTGATCACAGGAAATGGAACATGCTTTTCTTTTCACCCAGCAATTAATCTTTGCCTCCAGGATTGGAAAGGAGAAAAAAATTAAAGCACAAGCCAGTTTGTTCATCAGAAATCAAACTGATTTTAATAATCATCATAAAACTGAGGATGAAATTACTGAATGAACAATGTACTTCTGCCGTCTGAACACAAGGTCATTAATGCCCCCAACCTCTTAAAAAGACACAAGACTAATGAGGATACTTAGAACCACCTGGATTACTTAATTCTGCCATTTTTGAATACAAGACTGACAGCCGTCATCGACCCATCTGATTTTGCAGGTGAGAAGGAAAAAAAGCAAGAAACTCACTACCATTAAAGTTGATTCCGACTCAAAGGCCAAAGAGCTGAAAGGTAGGGCTGGAGTCGTTTGAGTGCCCATTTTACACTGTGTGCTGGCTTCCATGAAACTCACCTTTCCTCCCGTGGCCTCGAGGTCTCGCAAAAGGGTCAACAATGCCCATCCAGCTCCCGTCAGCAGGCATGGACAAGGGCCGAGGCTTGCCTGCTCAGGGAAGGCAGGGAGAAAGAGGACACGGTTGGCGAATGTCTGGGCTTCAGAGAACTCTGACCCCTGCTCCCTGTACAACTTTGTCCCGGCAGTGTCACAAGCAGCTCCATATGCAGAAGCAATGACATCTTTTCAGGAAAAGCAAGACTTTGCACACGTTTTTTCCAAAACAAGCCACGAAGGTCAGAGGCAGGACACAGAGACTGCATGCCTGCACAGCAAGGCAACTGTGGGGTCAAAGTTAACCATGGTGACATTGTAACTCCGACAGTGGAGCTGGGATGTGGATGGAGCTGGGGCTGCACAAGGCTCCACTGCAGGGCTCTGAATGAGAAAGGGCTCAATCCTCGCCCTGCACGTAGATTTATGGTTTCCTCGGGATTACCACCCCAGTCTGCCAGACTCGCCCAGCACTTCCCAAACAGGAAAGGGAGCAGCAAGCGAAGCACACAGCCGGCAGAACAGCACAAGCGCTCGGGAACTCACCATAGGATGGCGTTTTCTCTCTGAGTTTTGTGGGCAGAATACTCGTTTCTGCGGAATAGCCGGGCAGCTGGTCCGAGTCAGCGATGGTGAACCTCCGCCTTCGGCTCTCATGGTCCAGGAAGGAATTTGGGGACTCTGAGCCCTTGGGAGCAGGCAAAGGCTGTTTGCACTTACTGAACCCTCCATAAACCAAGCTCCCCTTCTCCTCCCTGGAAGAGAACAGGAAAGCTCTCAGTTGCTGACGAGAACTCTCTCACACGGAAGCAGGGAGGAAGCCCTGCTCCGATCGCCCACAGAGGACGACTGAACTCCTCTTTTCTGCTGGGGAGAAAGCATTGTTTTTCTCAACCCCAGCTGCCCTTCCGTCACAGGCGTCCTGCTGCCCCATGACCCCTTCCAGCATACACCCAGGACTCCACACTCACTACCATCCGTCGATTCTGACTCAGCCACCCTGTGGGGCAGAGCAGTACTGCCCCGTGAGTTTCTGAGACTGTAACTCAGGGTTTCCCAAAGTCGGTGATGCCTACACTTTATCCTGGATTATAGGCTATCATACAAAAGTTTTCCATTATCAGGAAGGCAGGGGGCGGAGGTCAAACCAGTTTGGGAACCGGTGCTGTCCTTTTTTTCAGGACAGGAAAGCCTCGTCTTTCTCCCGAGGGGCACCTGGCGGCTTCCAACCGCTGCCCGTGCAGTTAGGAGACCGATGTGTAACCCATGAAGCCATCAGGGATCCCTTCCGGTGTGCACCGGTCACATAAAACAAGGATAAGGCATGGCCCGAGGCCATGACAGGGAGGACCCCCTCATGGTGTAGTGGTTATGTGATGAGCTGCAATCCGCAAGGTCGGCAGTTGGAAACCACCAGACACTCCGAGGGAGAAAGATGGGGGTTTCTACTCCCGTGAGGAGTTACAATCTCAGAAACTCACAAGCGCAGTTCTATTTGGTCCCACAGGGTCACTATGAGTTGGCACTGACTCAATGGCCATGAGTTTTTTTATGGAGGACCTACGAGTAAATGCCATCATTTTCAAACACATCTGAACACTCAATATCGATTTTCCAAAGGGGCACCTCTATATTCTCGGGTTTCTGTAGCTGCACTCTCCTGTCGACAACAAGGATGCAAGGTCAGGTACGAGCTCTGGAATCACTTCTTCATGGCCGGAGGAGTAGCATTGCTGAGGTCCAGCGGGCAAGGCTCTCTATGAGTTGTCATATTTTAAATACGATGTCCAAAACACAAAGGGGCCTTCTTAGTGCACAGCAGACTCTACTTTCTGAACAAGTGCACACTCGGGCAAAAACTGGGCTACCAGTTCTGACACCCTTCTATGAAAATGTCTGCCTAGGGCAAAACTTAGTATCGGCCCGAGTTGAGTGCATGCCACCTGCCCGCTATACTTACTTGTTTGTATTCTCTGTTTCATCAGACACTCGGTGCCAAAGGGATGAGAGAAAATATCGAATCCACTGAAGCCGAAGGCGAGCCAGAGACCAGCCTGTTTCCCTGTGACATCCGGCTATTCTGAAGGGAAGCTACGGTGTCACATACCTCTCCCCATCAAATCCAGTCCCTTTAGAACCTGGAAGCCTGATTCACCATCTCCCCGGAAATGAAGCTTCCCTGCCTCGTTAATGTGCTTTCTGTCAGCACCCACCTGCATGACTTATTCTAAGAAGACACCCTGGAGTGTGTATGGCCCAGGCATAACCTCCTGTTCCCTTAGGTGCAAAGGTTAAGTACTCAGCTGTGAACCAAAAGGTCAGCATTTGGAACCCACCCAGGGGCTCCATGGGAGGAAGACCTGGCATTTGACGCTTGTAAAAATCTTGTTTTGTTAGGTGCCGATTCACAGCGAGCCGACTTACAAGAGAAGGAAACAAGGCTCAGCCCTGCACCAGGCTGACAGTTGTTAAGTTTGAGCCCACTCTTTTGGCCACTGTGCCGGTCCATCTTGTCCAGGGACTTCCTGGCAGCTATATGCTAGCTGGCAAGTGCTGGACAAACCAAGATTCAGGAAGAGGACCAAAGAAACCTCACAATAATACCATCAAATCAATTCGGACTCAAAGAGAGTCCCATCTTTCTCCCACACAGTGGGCTGTGGTTTCAAACTCCTGACCTTGAAATTAGCAGCTCAATGCACAACCACGATGCCACCAGGGCTCCCACATGGGCAGTCACTGTGTTGAGATCAACACGATGGAAGAGAAGAGTATGACAACACACATACACCCCAAGAATACGGACGCCCCACACCTCCACTGGTTCCCTTTATTAGTCCTATAAAGAGGACATCTGAATACAGCAGTCCCCATCATTATCTCACAAGCCTCCTCCTCCTCCACTGAAATGCTTCTAGTATAAAGGGACGACAGCTGAAGCTCCCGGGCCCCATACGCTCCCCAGGATATGTGTTCACAAGGTATAGCCGACACAAGGTTGTATGTTTTCTTACACTTGGCCAAAGTAAGGTATTGTAATCTTCTCTTCTTACAGAATCTCCCTTCCCACCAAATGACAAGCTCCAAGCCGCACACCCCCTGGACCTGTGTCTGCCCTCCCCTCCCCTCCCCTCCGCAGCTTCCTCCAGCAGTGCCCCAGTGGTCTCCGCAGCCAGCCGCCAGGCACAAGGACCACACCCACCCGGGAGCCACCTGTGACGTACCGGGGGGAGTAGGGCACGGCTGGCGGGGGCGGGATGTGGAGGTCCAGGATGGCCGGCTTCTCCTTCCTCAGAGAAGTGTCCATGGTGCTCTCGGGGGACTGGGTCGTCGTGGGTGGAGGAGAGGTCTGAAATGAGAGCAGGACAAGGGGCTTCAGAGGTGGAGGCCGACTCCGGGTCACCTCCCCATGCCCCAGCCTGGCACCATGACCCGCATCAACAAGGTGACACCACCAAGCGTGTCCAGTCCTGAGCAACCTGCATATTGCATGACCCTATGGTACACTCAATGTTAATGGGGAGTTTGGGGGCCACCCACGTGGGGGGGGGTTCCAGGGCAGAATTCTTGCCTTCTACCTGGGAGATCCACCCTATAGGAGAGGAGAGACCTGCCCCTGTGGGCTTCCCAGACTGTAACTCTTTCCAGGAGTAGAAAGTCGCATCTTTCTCCCGTGCAGTGGCTGGTGGTTTTGAACTGCTGCCTTGGTGGTGAGCAGCCCCACGCATGACCCACTTTGACACCAGGGCTCCCAACTTGATGGCAGTGATGGTTTTTTGTTGTTGGGAGACTTAACTTCAAGTCCCCCCCCCCAATGTCGGCCCTATATAGCCGCCACCCGTCTTTCAGGTGAGGCTGGTGTGTGGCTCAGGTGCTCAGCAGTGTGCAGCTGAGCTTCCAGACTGAGCTGGACTAGGAAAAAAGGCCAGCCATCTGATGCTGGGTCACGGGAAACCCTGGGAATCACTGACCCCAGCGGGGGGCAGAGGCTGGCTGGCTGGGCAGGGCAGGGCAGGGCAGCCTTCCGCCATGCAAGTTGGGGACCAGCCGGAGGGCGGGCTAACAACAGACAGGAACTCGGTATGGTGAAGAGTCCGAGGAGCTCCAGTCAGCACCCCGCCCCCGCCCCCACCCTAGACAAATTACAAAAACACCCGTGCTTCCTTGCCTCCGGTGTGGAACAGTTATGCAAACAGGACCTGTTGCCCAGGACAGCTTGACAACAGAAGGAGGGAGCTGGTGGACCCGGCTCCCACTGCTTCTACTGGTGAGGCTGTGGACTGGGTTCCTCCCTCTCCGCTATGATCCGGTCTACACCTCGTGCTAGCTCTGCATCTCGGAGGAAATGACGCCCCGTCTCTGTGCCTCACTCATAAACCAGGAAGAACAGGGCCAGCCCTGGGCAGCTGTGACAATGGAGCATGACAATAAGTCAAAAGGACACAGGGCCCGGTGGGGCCACCCTAAGTGCACAACCCCACGATGCTTAATTCTGTATTATACACACACTCATAGCGCCTCCTGTGGGTGTTCCCAGACTGCAACTGTTGACGGGAGTAGAAAGCCCTGTCTTTCTTCTGTGGAGCAGCTGGTGGTTTTGAACTGGCGACCACGAGAATGACAGCCCAATACTTAACCACTCCGCACAAGTTCATTTTAAGACTTTTTAAAAATCCAAGCACTTCTGTTGTCATTACCCTACTTGGGTCTCAGCAGGAACCCTGATGGCACAGGAGTTAAGCACTTGGCAGTGAATGGAAACGTTGGCAGTCAGAACCCCACCAGCTGTGGCAGAAAAATCGCAGGTGGCCTGCTCCCATGAAGGGCCAGCCGACAGCCTCTTGGCTGGGAGGGCATGGGGACACAGAGAGACAAGGACTTGGCTGGACTCTCCCAGAACGCCGTCATCTCCAGAGCCTCGACCTGCACGGTGAAGACGTCACCCCTCAGATGGACTCCTCACTCTCAGGTGAGCATCTCAGCATGCCCTAGAACACGGGGCCGGAGCCAGGGTCTTCAGAAACCCCAGAGACCCATTACAACCTCTGCCAAATGGGTTCCCTCCGCCTGCTGCTATGCCTCTGTAGTAGACTTGTCCTTGTCCCATCTGCGACTCAATAAATGTACTCGTTAAAGAGAGACAGGTAACGAGATACATAGATAGAGAAATACATGCACATAAAAAGTTGAATCAAAGACTTTTAAAACGCTCGAAGGAAAAGTTTACTGGAGAATGCCCAGGGACTGGCCATTCCCTGACAAAGTAATCTCATACTCTCTCGCTGCCAGCCACTGATTTGGTCCCATCTCATAGCGACCCTACAGGACAGGGCAGAACTGCCCCTCTGGGTTTCCAAGGCTGTCACTCTTCACGGGAGTAGAAGGCCCTAACAAGAAACAAGCCCTGATGTTCGCTTGGATGGGTGCTGCATGATGGGTGAGCCTGGGAAACTTCCTGCTGTGCACACTGCTCCCTAAAGGATAAGTACAATCTGACTCAGTTCCACGAACCATCTGCAACAGACAAACGCACACCACCCTGAGCTCAGACGGCTGGTTCTCCCCAAATGCACTGCCATCAAGTCAACCCTGACTCACAGCGACCCCACAGGACGGGGTGGACAGCCCCTGGGGGTGTCCGAGCCTGTCACTCTTTGAAGGAGTAGAAAGCCTTGTCTTTCTCCCTGAGAACACCTGGTGGCCTCAAACTTTTGACCTTATGGCCAGCAGCAACCCAACTCGTAACCACTCCGTCACCAGGGCCCCTCAATGGCTCTCCTAGGGAGAAAGAGAGGGAGACCCCACTGAAGAGACCCTGGCTGCTGTACAGGGTGGGAGGAACCACACACAATGACTATGATTCACGTCCCTGAATTGGACTGTAAGGACTGCTGACATGGCAAATACTTTGCTACATATATGTTTATCACAGTAAAAAAAAAACAAAAAAACACCTCTGTATCAAGAATCCTCATTTACCAGAAGTGTGACCTGAAAATGGACCAATAAACTTTTTCAGTGGCTGGACAGTTTAAAAAAAAAAAGCAAAACACTGCAATGGAGTCAATCCTGAGTCACAGCAACCCTACAGGACAGAGTAGAACGGCCCCTATGGTTTCCAAGGCCGCAAAGCGGAGGGCAGGGGAAACACTGAGACAAGGAGGTGGGCTGACCCAGTGGCTGCAGTAATGGGATCCAGCATAGGAACAACTGTGAGGACGGCCCAGGACCGGGCAGTGTTTCCTTCTGCTGTGCTCAGGGAGGTCAGTCCTGACTCAATGTCCCTTAACAACAACAGCAACAAGAGCTTTGCAGAAGGATAAGGGCTCATTTCTCCCTTGCAGAACAACCGGTGGTGTCAAACTACTGACCTTGTGATTAGCAGCCCAAGGAGTAATCCAATACACCCCAGGACTCCTCGTGACATTGAAAAGCACTCAGGAGACGCCCTCTGAGGAGGGGTGAGTCCCAGGCCTAAAGACAACCCAGACAGGAAGCATGCGGCGAGGCAAGGGCAAGGCGAAGCCGGCTGACAGGGAGAGCAGGTGTTCTGGAACTAGATGCATGTTGGAAGGATGGCAAGATCACCTAGTAGGTGAGCAGCACGTGACAGTCAGCTCTTGGAAAGTACGACTCTCTCCTGGGTCAGAAGGAAACATCAGGTGCCTCCTAAGCCTCTTCCCAAACTCTACAGTTCCTAGAAGCGGGCAGTACGAGAGACCGGACCAGAGGAAAAGGTGCCCTGACCCTTGGAGCTCCGTTTCCAGAAGTCACGAGAATAAATGTTAACCTCTTGTGTCCAAAGAATTATCCCCCTGCATTTGCAGGGGGGAAAACCAAAAAACCCTCAGTGTTTCCCTGGCAATTAAAACTTCTGTATTCTCGCCCATCTTCTGGGAGAAAGGGTAGGTATCTGCTTTTGCAGCCCCTCAAGGGGCTATGTCCGCTCACATTGGCAAACACTGCATTACGGCTTTTGCTGGGGACTGCCCTCAGGCATGGGGGCTGGGAGGGCATGGGATAGGGGGCTAGATATCCAGTTTTTACTTAAGAAAGATTTTCAGTATGTGCCTTTGCTTGCTCGAGCCTCAAACCTAATACTATCGAATGAATCCTAATTCCCAGCAACCACCTTGATTCCAAGGCTTGATTTTTCGGAGGCAGAGCCCCGGGTCTTTCTTTAGAGGAGCCTCGGAGCGAACTCGGACCTCTAGCCTTTCAGTGAGCAGCCGAGCTTGTCAACATGTGCACGGCAGTGTAGACACATTTCCACTATGTGTCCGAATAGATGGACCAGTCCCTCCCACGTGACGACGCATGATGAAACCAGGCATGTCTCCATCCCAGCTTTACAACAGAGCCACATGGCATTGTGCCTGTGCCTCCGGGGCTTCGGAAGGGGACACTCAGGAAGGTCAGCTAGCAGGTGGGCTGTCAGTGTGCTCAGATCACCGAGGTGCAGGCCGACGGAGCGAGAGCAATGGCAGGGAACTTAAACAATGAACTAAGAGACAGCCTGCCTCCCGTTGTCACCACAGAGATGAAACCTTCCTCTCTCGCCATGGGATGGGCTGGTCCCCTGACAACGCCCGCTCTGGGCTGGGTTGTTGAGTGTGGTCGATTCCAACTCACAGCGGATCGACAGGATGGCGCAGAACTGGCCCTGGGGGATTCCGAGGCTGCCATCTCTATGGAAGCAGATTGTCAGGTGAACGTGTCTCCTTTGTAAGTTGGAACCACTGACCTTCTGGGGAGCAGACGAGCATTACACTATTACACCATTAGGGCTCTTGGGTAGACCACAGCGAGTAATTCATCTCAAGGAGGACTCTCTCGGCATACGGTGCCGACTGTTTCCACGTGTGTGGAGGAGAACAGGCATCAGAGATGCTTGGGTTGGCGCCACAAGACAGTCAGAAGAGGCCACAAGGTACGTTCAACATGGCAACGAGGACATCAAATTCTAATTGTATGTAAGCTCAGGACTTCAATGATAATAGCTGCACCCCACCAGTGGGGCCCCTGCCCCGGGTCAGCACAGCTCTGGGATGGCTATGTTCATGGGGCGGGGTTTGCGCACAATCAGATGCAGGAACACAGCCAACTCCTGCCACGAACCTCCTCCACTTGGTCAAAGGTTCCTTCCGTCTGGTGGGTGTGCAACGCCAGGGAAGGCTGGCTCGCCCTGGCCCCACTGTACAGAGACGGGCAGGGTAACAACCCAGAGCTACCTGCACGGGAGGCGGCTTCCAGCGCAGGTTCTTCAGGGGTGCGGGGGTGAAGTTGAAGGAACCCGTGGGACGTTTCTTCAGCAGTAGCACGACCCCTGTGGGGTTCTCTCTCAGCTTCTTCACCAGGTTTTTGAGCTGCCACCCCACCTTCAAAAAAGCAAAGAAACAGGCAAGGGGCTCACGTGGGAATGAGGGAAAACATCAAACCTTAGTTAGAATCGATCGCCAGAAGGCACGGACTGGCAAGTGGGCAGAGGAGCGTCTGCTTGCTATGGCACAAACTGAGAGTGGGACCCTGGATACAGACTGCACATGTTTAACAAGCTCAAGCAAGACGGGCTGGGACTTAAGGAAGGTTCTAGAGATGGACAGTGAGCCCAAAGGCTCGCGCACACACTTACCACCGTCTGCCGGTTGACTTGGATGACCTCGTCACCAGCGTGGATCCGCTGTGATCTGTCGGCCGGGGACTAAACAGAAAGAAACACGGAGCCGTGTCATTCTCTGACACGCTCTCATTTTTCCCGCTTCTGCCCCCTTGTTCCTGCTGCTGCAGACCACCAGCAGGGCGATGACCTTTTAGTGGGGGGAAAGAAATCAGCCGACTTTCTCTCCTGGGACCACAGGAGCTGTAGAACCTGGCAGAGGAATACCGCATGGCCTGTGATCAGCTGATGATTGGCCCAAAACACAGGGTTCATCTAACCAGGGCCGGGGAACATAGACACGATGGGCAATGAATGATGAGGTGATAAGAACCGATGGTCCATTGCAAAAATATCTCCCTTAAAATGAGCCCTGTGAAAGCCCATTATTCGAACTTGTAAACACCATCTTTGTGGCTCTGACTTCCCACTTCCTTCTAAACGATTAAGAAGAGCCTCACTCGGACTCTCTCTTCTCTCTCTTTTGCTTGCTTTCTCCATGTGAAAAACAGCCGTTACAGAACCCTGATGAAAAGGCTATTCAACCAGGGAAAGCTTGGCCATAAAGATGCCTATCCTTAAAGGAAACCCAACGGACAGGCTTTCTCTGTCTTAAGGAAGGAGGCGTCCAAGAGGACGGAGTTTTCCGTGACAACCAGGTCCGGGGTTCTTTGCTCCCCCTAAGAACAGACCCAAACACACTGCTGTGGAGTCGGCTCAAAGCGACCCTGCCGGACAGGGTAGAACCACCATGAGTTCCCAAGACTGGGGCTCTTCACAGGCGTAGAAAGCCCCCCTTTCTCCTGCTGAGGGGCTGGTGGTTTCAAACTGCTGACCTTGCAGTTAGTGGTCCAACTTGGAAACATTCTGCCTTTAGAGCTCCTCCCACAATAATACTTAGCTACAAATTTAGGGGTGATGGTCGTACTATACTTCTCTATGCTCATAGGCGTACCTGGGGATATCGATTATTTGTCAAATGTATGTTCCTAAGGATTATCGGTGCAAGTAGCCCAGGAGAAGCCACACGAGGGGCTTCAAGATCTAAAAGAAATTTAGATTTCAGGAACTAAAAGATCCCTGAAATTTTCCACCACTGTTTGGGAGGCCCCTCCTATGGCTGACAGGGTGGGAACGGAAAAACCCCTAATTCCTGATGACAGTCCTGTGTTATCTCGGCCAGAAGACAGGACTACGGAGCTGGCACGACGGCCGCTGAACAGTGTACAGCCAGCCTCACGCATCGCCCCCTCGGAGCATGAGAAGTGGCGGCCAGTCCCACTTGGGACGCATTGGCGGAGGGTTCTGGCTCCCCGTGGCTGAAACTGAAGCCACGAGAAAGGAGCCAGCCGCAGTTCCCAGCAGCAGACGCACCGCCGGGTTCATGCAGGTCCAACGCAAAGCCCTGAGAGCGGCTGCAGTTACTCTTAAAAACAGCTGGGCTGTTGCCATAACAACCAGAAGCACCTCACCTGAGAGACAGGACTGTGCTCCCCACAGGGAGATGACCCGTTTCCAGTCCCTCATGAGGCATTCAGAAAATGTGAATTTACCAAGGCTCTTGTTGTGGGGCCTGGTGTGTCATGTTTAGCCCATTGCTCCAACCTACTTAGATTTGATGGCTGCAGCCCAGATTGAAAGAGACATTTATTACAGGAAGGTCCACCATGTACCTACCTTACGCCACCCCACCTCCACATTCTGAGATGGCCCCAGGGCCAAGAAGTCCTGTTTATAAATGTGTGCCGCCTTCCAAAACCATCTCCGATAGCCTGAGGTGACTTCCTTTCCTAAGGATCCTGGGGCGGCTCATTTCTCAAGTGTCCCTACCAAGTGATACCAGGTCTGCTTGGCAGAACACTGGTAAAGAGAGAGCTTGATACGGAGACACCCCCACCTCGGGCTGCCGGAGCTGGACCACTGAAAGGCAATGCTTGTCGACAATTGGCTGCAGAAGGGCAATGACCTGAAGAAGGCCACTGTCCTTGGGCTGCTAGTCTGGTTGTCGCCTGACCTCGGACGGGGCACTGGGGTATGGCTGGGGTCCTGGTGAGATTCTTGTCGAGGTCTGGAACAACCTCAGCAGAGAAGGCAGATAGACAATCGCCAGACACTGCCAGCCTGTCCTGCGCATGCTCCCTCCCTCTCAGGGAGCCTCCAAGAGAAACACAACGAAGACTGGAGAAGCCCACTGGCCTTGCCTCAGCCTGGAGTCCGAGGAGGAGGAGGAGGAGGAGGAAGACAATTCCCCTGGGAGCACAGCGGGATGACTTATGCCCACCCTCACCCCATCCTTCCACGAGAACACTCTGATTCTGAGTCTGGTGATAGATGGGCGAGCCACAAGGCCACTCTGGGAGGGGCCTGTGTGCGCCGGGCCATAACACGACCTTGTGCCACCCGTGTACCCAGGGCCAGCAACGTGTGAAGAGGCCCAGCTAGAACCTGGAACTGCACAGCCAGGCTAGGCACAACAGGGTGTCAACGCAGCTCCTACGCTTCCCAGGCAGAAGACACCGAGCTTTTGAGAAGGGTAGAGATGGGAAAACATGGAGGCGGGCCGTGGCACCGGCTGAGCAGCAGCATACATGGGCGGGTGTCACAAAATTGCACATGTGCTGACGTGGCAATGGGTGGCATGTGTATTGACCACAATACAAAATTTTCAAAAATAAACAGAAATCTGACATTCTGTGTCCTGGATTCATCCGGCTGCAAGGCACATACCAAATGGCACATGATTGTGTTGTTGTCATTGCTGGTTCCCAAAGAGTAGATCTGTTCACAGTCTGCGTCGTGGGTTCTCTAATCAGCAGCACCCCCCCCACACACACACACACAGGCACACATACATGCAAAGGCACACACACATGTACACACACACACACACACACACACACACACACACACAGAGGCACACGCTCTTGCGTAGAAGCAGAGCTTTCTGGGCGGTCATGGCCATCGGGGGACTGGGTATAATAGAACCTCCCGGCGTTTCTCACTGTGCACGCACAACACTAGCTCAACAGAGAACCCCCAAGGCCTCACGCCTCTTCCCTCTTTCCCCTGCCAGAACTGTGTACTGACTTCTAATTCATGGGCCACCTTACTCACTGCCATCGAGTCAATGCTGACTCATAGCAACCCACTGAGTGTTTCTGAGACTGTCACTGTTGACAAGAGTAGAAAGCCCCGTCTTTCTCCTGAGGACCTGCTGGTGGTTTTGAACTGCCCACCATGCAGACTGCAGCCCAATGCATAACCACTACACCACCAGGACTCCTTGGGCGATGTTAAGCAATGTCGCGCTACAGAAATCTAGTGTTTGTGTCATATGCCCTAATCAAAGACCATGGTATTTTATTCTACCCTAAGACTTAGCAGCAGCTGTGGGATTAGCCAATCACTAAAGGGCACTTGAAGAGACCACTATGATAAGGGACGACTAGAAAACGTTTTAAAAAGGTAAGACTTTCACACCAAAGGGAACCAACAGCCTTTACAGACTGCCAAGGCGGGGAGCGCCAGGGAGAAAGCTCAGACAACGGGCTAGACTGCTGGCAGGTGTTCACCTGGGTGGAATGGAAGGTAGTCGTTCACAAGCGGGAAATGTGAAATCAAGGACAGGGGGAGGGTAAACTCCTGGGGAATGATGAGCCGTTTAATCTGCTGAATCCAAAATCGATCATCTGAAATGTAAGCCCCCACCTAATTTCCAATAAAACCAAACCCCAAACTCCGTGCCATTGAGTCAATACTAACTCGTAGCAACCCTGTGTGACAGGTCAAAACCGTGGGTGTCTGAGACTGTGACTTCACAAGAGTAGAAAGCCCTGTCTTTCTCTCGAGGAGCTGATGGTTGATTCGAACTGCCAACCCTGCAGCTATCAGCCCCACTTGTCACCACTGCACCATGAAAGAGAAGACTCAGCAACTAAAGCCCAAAATCAGACTTGTGTTTCTACAGAACAGGTTGTACAGGTAGTTACCGCAAGTACTCCCGTGTTCGGGACCTCCCCCCGCCCCACTTAGTCCTCCTTGATAACACAGAAGGCAGATTCCACAGGCGCGTGCTTCTTGAAACACAGCCCAGGGGAGCTATTCCAACATGCGAACGTCGCATCAACGTCAACCAAAAGCTGGCCATGCTGCAGGGAGGAGGAAGATAGCATTCAGAGGGGTCTCCTTTTCACACATTCCAAATCTCTGTGGGGCTGAAGACAAACTCTGGGTGTACCAGAAGTTACAGAACTAGGTAAACAAGCTACAAAAGCTCTAAATACTGTGGAAAAGCCTTGCCCTTTCTACTCAAAGGGCTGGGGGACTGGGGGAAGGGAGTCCAAAGGTCATTATCTTGCCAAACACCACACCGTGTGGTTAGGGGCTATCGGGTCGGTTCCAACTCACAGCAACCTCCTGGGGGGCAGAAGGCCGGGCCCTGCCCCGTCCTCACCAGCGCTGCTGGGACTGAGGCCACGGCTGCTGACCCAATGCCACTCCATCTCCTTGAGGGGCTTCCTCTTTTTCACCGACCCTCGACTTCATTCAGGCCTCATAGAGCATATTACAAAAGGCAACACTCTCGTGGGAATCTGTGTCGTATAACATGTTTGGGGACAAACATGAATCCCAGCGAACAACACGATTGACGATGATGAGTTGTGTTTCGCCCGCCTCCCATCTTGGGAGAGCGACTGCCGAAGACAAAGACCGTTTTCTGCGCGGATGCTCTAAGAGCAGGGGGAAGAAGGGAGGGGGAGGGAGGGAGGGGTGGCAGCAAAAGCTGGGCGGGGTCTGTGAACAGGCACGGAGCAGGGCAATTTACATCCTGAATTGCCAACCGCAGGTGACAAGCCAGCTCTGGCAGCAGAAATAAACAAACCAGACACCCTGGTTTTGACTGTGTACAATAACCATAACCGCACATTCAAATGACAAGCCACAGCCCCCGGGTCGCGTTTGCTTAAGCCCCGCGTGGCCTCGCCCTCGGAGGGCCCCCTCCACTTACATTCTCCGTGGTTCCCGTGATCACATGCAATCCGTCGTAGGTCGACTTGATGTACATGCCCTGGAGGGAGGGACACACGCATTAACTCATCGCTCCGACCTTCAGAGATCCCGGGTGCAGTTGATGCCAACTCTCAGAACAGAACACGGCTGCTCCGAGTGTTCCCGCCCTGACGGGAACAGCCTGCCTCTTCTTTCTCCGAAGAGAAGCTGGGGGCCCGCCAACCTGGTGGCCAGCGGCTCAACGCTAGCACACTGCTCAATGCTAGCACACGGCTCAATGCTAGCACACTGCTCAATGCTAGCACACTGCTCAACGCTAGCACGCGGCTCAATGCTAGCACACTGCTCAATGCTAGCACACTGCTCAATGCTAGAACGCGGCTCAATGCTAGCACATGGCTCAATGCTAGCACGCGGCTCAATGCTAGCACTCGGCTCAAGGCTAGCACACGGCTCAATGCCCCGGGCCCCTTATGTAACAGAAAGGGGTGCAGTCTAACGCTACTACTCAGGATGCTCAGGAAGGCAGAATGGAATCGCTGTCCTTGCTGGGTGGCGCTGAGTCGGTTCTGGCTCACTGGGACCCTATCTACAACAGAATGGAACACCACCCGAATTCCTCCCTCAGAGCGGGGCTTAGGGTTGAGCCCTCGGTAAGAGAATTATGGGAAAGAAACCGAGAACTCTCATCCACTGCGGGGATACGTGATGTGGCTGAAAAGGAAGCGCGGTGAGTGGAGCGCCTACCAGGCCTTCCCCGGGCTTCACGTTCGGCAGATGGACCTCCTGCAGACACGCGCACTGGCTCATGAGAGGGTCGGTGGTGGACCGGATGGTTTTGTCACAGATGCCATTTAAAACCTTGACCTGGAGTTGGGGAGGGAAAGAGTCGGGGGAGGTTCAGCCGTTCACTGAGTTCGTCTAAAGCTAGGTTTTGTAGAAACATGCTCCACCGACCACCTCGTTACAAGCCCTGCTCCATGATACCCTGGCCTTCAGGGGAATGATGTTGTGTACCCTGTGGGAATGATGCCACTGTTGTGGCTTTGTTGAGCTAGCCTGCTTCCCCTAGAACCTTACTCACTCACTCACTCACTGAAGAGCAGCCATGGCAAGCCCACTGCTGCCGAGTCAATCCCGGCTCACGACAACCCAGAGAGAGTGTCCCAGACCACCAATTTTTATAGTAGCTTCCGGCTGAGCAGCTGGTGGGCTTGAACCACCAACCTTGTGGTCAGCTGCCCAATGCCTGACCCAAGTACCACCAGGGCTCCTTACGGAGGAATACAGCCCACAAGTCCCCCGGCAGCAGGTAGAGAAGCATCTACTCCCCAACCGCCTATCTGGCTGTTGGCTGAACCCACATCTTCCCCAACCCCAGATGCTGACCAGGCCGAATGTGCTCTGTCTGCCCGCACTGTGTTTTCATTGCTAGACGACAGGGCGGCTAGGAGTCAGAATTCTCTCAAGGGCAGGGAGTCTGTGTGAGACCCCTTGAGATGACTACTCCCAGCCATCTTCCAAACCCCAAACCAACTCCCTGTCGGGGAGTCGGTCCTGACTCACAGCGTCCCTAGAGGACAACACAGAACGGCCACTAGGGGGCTCCAAGCCTGCACCTCTAGAAGGGAGCAAAGAGCCTCGTTTTCCTCCCACAGAGCGGCTGATGGTTTTGAAGAGCTGACCTTGTGGTTAGCAGCCCATTACGCCACCAGGGCTCCTCGAAGCAATTTTAGGTTTACAGGAAAACGATACAGAAAAGGACAGAATGTTCCCAGCTACCTGCTACCTGCTACCCCCGCTCACTGTTCCTCCTGTTCCTGACATCTGGAATTAGCGTGGTCTAGTTGTTACTGATGATGAGCCAATAGTGATACATTTTTTATTAAATGCAGACGGGAGTTTACTCAGAGTCCACTCTGTGTACAGTCCAAATGCACAATAGCCTTACCCACCCGCACAGCATCCTACACAACAATGTGCTGCTGCCCTGTGCCTCGGAGACCCCACCCTACAGGGCAGGGTAGAACCGCACCACCAGGTCTCCTGGGCACCAACTGATACAGGAACAAGCAGAAAGGTCTTTTCTTCAGAGGCAACTATTAAATTTGAGCCACCAGCCTTTCCATTAGCAGCTGAGTGATTAGCTGCTGTCCTAAAAATCTCCTGCACTCCACCTGTTTACACCTGCCCCTCATTCACTCCCCCCCGCCCCCCCAAGGCCTAGCAACCACCATTCTTCTTGCTGCTCCCAAGTTTTGGCCTTTCCCAGAATGCCACGTGGCTGTGATCATGCTGCCGTTCAGAGTGCTTTCCACACGTAGCAAAGCCCTTGTGAGATCTGTCCAAGTCTTTCCACAGCTCATTTCCTTGGACCCTTTCATTTAAAGCTTCCGTTGTGAAGATTCCCTCGCCGTTGGGCTGTCCATCGACCTACTGAAAGAGATCTTGGATCTTCTGATTTGGGGGCAACTATAAACAAAGCAGCTGCAAACATCCGAGTGCACATTGTCCTGGGCACGCAAGTTGTCGATGCCTTTGGGTAAGGACCGAGGCGTGCAGCTGCTGGATCTTGGGGTAAGACTCTATTAGAAACGGTCCATCCATCTTCCAAAGGGGCCGAATCGCCACGCCTTCCCACCAGCAACGGGTGAGCGGTCCTATGATGCCTCATCCTTTTCAACGTCTTGAATTTCAGCCTCTCAACGTACGGGGCGTCTCCTTGTAGTCTTCGCTGGCACCTTTCTAATCACGCAGGGTGCTGGCCAGCTTTGCCTGGGTGCCCAGGCCAGCTGTGCACTTCTTCGCTGAAGTCTCTCTGCAGCTCTTTGGCCCACTTCTTCACTGGATGGGGTGTTTTTATTATTGCTAGCGTCACAGACGTCTTTGTATCGGTTGAAGACAAGGCCTTCATCAGTGATGTGCTTTGCAAATGCTTTCTCCCGGGGCTGTTTGGTTTTTCATTCTTCGGATGGTCTTTCGTGGTGGGGCAAGTGTTTTGAGCTTTAATGAAAGCTGACAGATCGTTGTCCTTGTGTGAATTGTGCCTTTGGTATTGTGCCCACCCCACCCCCAAAACCATGTTGTGTTATGTCTGAAAGTCACTGTCATTACCAGGGTGGTCTCCTAGATCCACCCCTCCACCATCTCCTCGGGGTTGTATATTTCTGCACTCCACAGGCAAGTCCACGATCTCTTTTAGTGATTGCTGACATTCTTCAAATGCCAAGCAGTGACGAGGTAAAATTTCAAAGAGACCAAAAAAAAGAAGAAAAAAAAAAACACACCAAGAACTCCCTTTCAAGTGGTCTCCCTACAGACATCATAGCGGGTCCGGGTGGCTATTTCCTTCGATCAGATTCACGAGCCTTTCAACATGAGCCGCCTGAGGAGCCAGGAAATGCCAGAGGGTGACTTTTCTTTCCAAGGGGGGGATCCAAGAAGCAACACTTTGTAAATTCTTCCCAGTGGCGCACCTCCCTATTTATGGAAATGTATTTATAGCGATGTCACTGGTGAGTCCCTCAGTGTCGGTGGGAGGAAGGCCTTATCGAAAGGGCCCAGCCTGGCCCGTGTCAAAAGGAGGAAGTGATGATGCGGCCAGCGAGCCGGGGCTCCTCAGACCTCCGCCGAGCTGCGGCCTGCACTCAAGGATTGGTGCCAAGATAGCTGGTGGAAATGGTTCTGGAGGCACGTCTGCAGCTGAGGCCCAGCCTGGCTAGCAGGCTAGCTCGCCGTGTTTCAGCACAAATCTATGTCCTGAGGGTGGAGCCCTGGGGACACTGTTGGCTAAGCTTTAGACAGTAAGCACAAGGTTTGCAGTTCAAACCCACCAGCCGCTTGGGGGGGGTGGGCAAAGTGGCTGCCAGCATTCTACGAAGATTTGTTTGTGTGGTGGAGGTAGTGGTGGTGATGGTGGTGGTGGTGGTGGTGGTGG